ATTGAAGAAATAATCGGTTTTCGTCCCCCCTCCTCCCAAGGGGTTCCCCGGAAAATTTTAGGAGGCCAGAAAGTAGCTCCCTATGACCTAGGAACATATCCCCCAAGTCTCAAATCTTTGCCTCAATCAAGTAAAAATTTAAAGGGGACGGAAAGGACTTATGGATCACCCTGTATATCGCATGAATTTCGCAATATATATTGTGAAGTCGAGTTCCTATATATGAACACATTTATTATTCATATATTGAACGATTTTCGCCATATATTTTGAAATCGATTTCCTGTATATTGACACATTTCTTATATATTGCGACGGTTTCGTATATATATTTCAATATTTCCTATATATCTTGAATATTTCATATATTCGATCATTTCTTATACATTACCAACATTCCTATCTTTGTTTACAAATGGCCCTTCATATGGAGTACACGGTCTGATTACGGATCTTTTCCGGACTCTATACTAGGGATCTAGAAGCAAAGTGGGTACTCGCATACCCCTTCTTACGGCAGAGAACAACAGAATCTCCCAGCCTGATGCCAGCTTTGCTTCCAGATCCCTACTCGATACCACCAGACTTCAGAGACGAGTCAAGGAATTCAGGACCTGGAAAACGCCTGAAAGTAGCACCAGCTCTCCTATACATTACGATTTTATGTTCTCTCTGCACCATACTAGGGATCTAGAAGCAAAATGGATACTCGCACAATATAGCCGTAGACAAGTCGTACGTACCGGGAATTTAACTCGGTACGTATTCTTATTGGAAAATCCCGTTTTTCTGCGCACAAGTTCTCTTAGTGAGAGTAGAATAGAAAAGTCCTTATGGATGAAATGTATTAACAGCGTGATAAAGTATTTGTTCTAAAACTTTCATCTAAATATTAATTTTCCTCGTTGAAATAATCGAGCTGGGAGTGAGGACCTCAAATGGCGGGAAAACGTATTGTTTCTTCGACTGTACGAGATTCATATTCTCCCATCATGCTCTGCGCGATGGGACTAGTCCATTTCGCGCTTCGTTGCGACTAGTCCACAATCCGAGACTCTCACCGGCTGGCTGGGAGATTCCATTGTTTTCTGCCATAAAAGGGGGATGTGAATACCCACTTCGCTTCTAGATCCCTACACCACACTAACAATTAACTTAATTAGGTTTTTCGATTCATGGATTGGCGGTGGCGGTGTTGCCAAGCCGAACCAGACATTATATTATTTGATTTTACACCGCCATGCAATGCTATAATTAAGACGAAGATCGATTGACGGAGTTGCCTAGTCAAACCAGCACTTAAAATGGTTAATTGTTTGCACCATGAGGCAACGTTGTAAATCGTTCGAGGTAGGTCAGGTAACTCAACACCACCGCACTTAGGTTAGGTCACTCGACAACGTCGTATGGTCGTAAATCATTCGACTTAGGTTGGGCCTTATGGCCGCGCCTCTTCCGAGTCTCTTTCTTTCATGGTTAGAGGTGCGTTATTGATAGGCAACGGGCCTCAACGGAAATTACCCAGTGAGAGCGTTGCGAGTTTGACGATCGTTCTTGAACCTCCGTTGAAACAATACCTGTTACCCGGCGACTGTCATGGCGGTTCAATGCTCGCCGCAACGGCTTAGCACTTTCTGCGGCTACTAAATGGAGCATTGAGCGTTGAGGACGTAAATAAAGTCACATGACAGTAGTTGGGCCTTAGTTGGACAACGGGTAACTCCGCGGGTAATTCACCGAGATCATCTCCGTTTTCTACCCCGAACGCACTAGAGTACCTTTATACAGGGTTATCCAAAAGTCACTGACCACCCCTGTAACTTTTTTCCAAATTGAGATAGAAGTTTGAAACTTTGGGAATGTTCCTCGGTCTTAAGTAGCAACTTTTTGCTCCCCCCAAAATTTTGGGGGGCGGCCCCCCTTAAGGGGGGCGGTGGCTAACTTTTTTTTTCAAACGGCAACCCCCCCTCCTTTGTGATACCTCATTCGAAAGATAATAAGAAAAGAAAATTTTTGGCGCAAACCGCAGGTCAAAATGTTCATTTTTGACAGAATCGCGGCCGGTCTAAGTTCAAAATGGCGGAAATTTGGCATCTCCGTTGTTTATTGACGGATTGGTGTGAAACTCGGAATTCTAGGGTTTTTTGAGACGAGAAAAACGATTCTGGCATTGGTTTTCCAGAAAAGTCATTCCTTTTTAAAATGGCGGCCTAGAGCGGGAAGTGAATATTTAGGCTGCATATCGTTGGATTTGCATGAAACTTGGTATCTGGGGGTATTTCGGCACGAGAAGATCGAATCTTTCATTGGATATATGAAATTTTGACAAATTCCGAAATGGCGGCGGAAAAATTGCGGGAAATCAGTTTTACGGCCCTTTACCGATGGATTAGCATGAAATTATTTGATATTTCAAGAATCTAATGAAAGATTCCTTTTAATCCAGCCAAAAACCGCCAGGATATCGAATTTCATGCAAATCCATCGGTAAACAGCCGTAAAACTGATTTCCCGCCATTTTGGAATTTGTCAAAATTTCAGATATCCAATGAAAGATTCGTTCTTCTCGTGCCGAAATACCTCCAGATACCAAGTTTCATGCAAATCCAACGATATGCAGCCTAAATATCCACTTCCCGCTCTAGGCCGCCATTTTGACCGCAACCAATGCCAGAATCGTTTTTCTCGTCTCAAAAAACCCTAGAATTCCGAGTTTCACACCAATCCGTCAATAAACAACGGAGATGCCAAATTTCCGCCATTTTGAACTTTGACCGGCCGCGATTCTGTCAAAAATGAACATTTTGACCTGCGGTTTGCGCCAAAAATTTTCTTTTCTTATTATCTTTCGAATGAGGTATCACAAAGGGGGGGTTGCCTTTGAAAAAAAAAAAGTTAGCCCCCGCCCCCCAAAATTTTTGGGGGACCAAAAAGTTGCTACTTTAGACCGAGGAACATTCCCAAAGTTTCAAACTTCTATCTCAATTTGGAAAAAAGTTACAGGGGTGGTCAGTGACTTTTGGATAACCCTGTAGACAGAGTATGGCCATTTCTGTTCCGGTTTTTCATTGGTCGCGAGCGAATAGGCTGACACGATGCTCTTCGGGCCGTAAATAAACATGAAATAAAAAAACAAGATGGCTGTTATCAGCAAGGAAGTTTGAGGTTATGCGCATCTTACATCCTCCTGTGATAAAGGTGAAAGGCGATTTAACAATGTTTTCATGTGTTTTTCGTGTGTTATTCGTAGATATGCTGGTTTAAATTGTTACTACCGTATAATTCATATTTTTTTTCAAATTTAGCTTCTTATCGATGTTACGGTGAGCCGCCATCTTGTTTGTTTATTTACCGCCCTAAGAGCATCATGAAGCCTAAAAACTTGTTGACCAATCAAAAAGCGAAACAGTTTTCCTGTAGTAAAAAGATACAAATGGCCATACTCTGTCTATAAAGGTACTCCAGAACGCACGTTAAAGTACTCGACAACGTTGTAAATCGTTCGACTTAGGGTAGGTGGAATTTTTAAAGGTCGAAGATCGTCGATTGAGCTTAGTATGATCAAGCAAGATCGATACTTAGATTACATTTTGATAGCTCGAAGATAGATAAGTAGATACTTAGGTCGAAATCGATAGCTCAAAGATCGATAGGTAGTTAGATTACTCGACACCGGCACATTTAGCAGCACTGCACTTTTCAAGCATTACGTAACGCACTTTTTTCGATTTTTTTACCTGCCTCCCCCCTTGCAACGCACCCGTAACGCAGCCCTACACCCCATTTTGAATTACGTGACGCTGGCCTGACCCCCCCCCATTTTAAAAAAATCGAGAAAACGCTGAAAAAACAGCTTTAAAAAAATTCGGGTTAATTTTTGGAGATATTTCGCTGGGTCACGCGTCGAAAAGATTTATTCGAGAAGGGCGGAATTTTCAATTTTTTGCACGTGTTCTTTCAAAGCCCCCCCCCCTTCTTCGGCTCGGATTTGTTACGTAACGCTAAGCTTGAACCCCTCCCCCGTGTAACGCACCGTAATGCTGGCTCAAATCCCCCTCCTCTCTAAGTGCATTACGTAATGCTTTAACGGCCCCTTACGTTAGGTAACTCGACAACGTCGTAAATCGTTCGTTTTTGTTAGGTTAGGTTAGCCGATACCACCTCATTTTAGGTTAGGTTTCATTTCCATAGGTCGGATTTGTTACGTATCGCTAAGCTTGAACCCCTCCCCCGTGTAACGCACTGTAATGCTGGCTCAAACCCCCTCCTCCCTAAGTGCATTACGTAATGCTTTAACGGCCCCTTATGTTAGGTCACTCGACGACGTCGTAAATCGTTCGTTTTTGTTAGGTTAGGTCAGCCGATACCACCTCATTTTAGGTTAGGTCAGCCGATACCACCTCATTTTAGGTTAGGTTTAGTTTCCATAGGTCGGATTTGTTACGTATCGCTAAGCTTGAACCCCTCCCCCGTGTAACGCACCGTAATGCTGGCTCAAACCCCCCTCCTCCCTAAGTGCATTACGTAATGCTTTAACGGCCCCTTATGTTAGGTCACTCGACAACGTCGTAAATCGTTCGTTTTTGTTAGGTTAGGTCAGCCAATACCACCTCATTTTAGGTTAGGTTTCATTTCCATAGGTCGAAGCTCGATGTATCGATTGCGCTTGAATCCTCATTTTTCCCTACCCAGGTAATGTCTGATGATCAAAATTTGGAAAGCATGCCAAATAATGTAGTCCCAAATATTAGTCAAACGATCAACAAATTCCAAGGCCCTTGGAACAAACACCAATTTTTATCCAAAGGAAAAATGATTGAACAATATGTCCTCTGTGAATCAAAATTTACTTTTTTTTAAAAAAAAAAGGCGACGCTTGAATAAGACCCGTTTCCATTCGTCGGTGAAAAAAAGATAATGTATATCCTCTAGTGAATAGGTACACAAAAAAAGTCATGATGTAATCTTGTAAACGAAGAAAAAAATGTAATGAAAAATAGTATTTTGTTTCTGTTATTTAGGGACATGGATGGTAATTTAGCCTACAGGCTTGCCTTGCAAACAAGAGAACAGCATATACGCAGAGATAGAGCAACAAGTAACATTTGCACCGCACAAGCGTTGTTGGCTAACATTTCCGCAATGTATGCTATTTATCATGGCCCTGAAGGCTTGACAAATATTGCAAAGTGCATTCACCGCCTGACGCTTACTCTCGCTGAGGGTACGTTTTACTGATTATCACAATGACTCTATTATGAAATACTGCAAGCAAAAGCTAATCCACCAGCAAATATTAAAAATACTGTTGTGACAATGTTTGTTGCCAGTATGTTTTTTTTAGGCCTTGTCTCGACGGCGCATCTGTTGAGGGAATGGTGCAACTGTTGCGTGTTTGTTACGCCAACCGAAGTTCCGTGTCTCGAAGCGCACAAGCATGTTTTCCTAGAAATTTTAGGCGGGAATACTTGAACAACATTAATTTTTTTAGGTTAAACGGTGTCAACAGAGGTGACTGAACTGATATTTATCAACGGGGAGTGAAAGTTTTTTCTTTATTTCGACTAGGTATAATATGAAACAATAACATAACACAGATATGTATAAAAGAAAGTATATTCCATAAAATTATATTTTCCTGCTGTAGTGATATGCTACTGCTACTGACTGAAATATAAAATTGTTACCTACTGAAATTTAGATAAATATTTCTAAATAATAACCACACAGAAACGTAAACACCCGTAATAAACTCCCGCGCTTCGCGTACCTATAACCGGCGTTTATCAATTCGGAACACGAACAGGAATCTGCAACAGTTGCACAAAATACCCTCAACAGTTGCGCCGTCGAGACAAAGCCTTATAACGTTACGACAACGCTTTTACACACGTTTTGCTGGGTGGGAAATTTAGTTCTAAGCATAGGTACCTACAGAAATGGAAAAGGGAACAATATCTCGCAATTTTGAGTTTTAGAGAATTTTGAGTTCACAATAATCGCCATATTACCTATCGCTTTTAGACCTTTTCATAGAACCCTTTTCTAAATTCATGTCAAAAAGAATAAGGCACCTATATTTATTTCAAACAAGTCGTGATTAGCTCGCTTTGCGAGCTGACACGTCTAGCCGGGGAGTGCCCCTGGACCCCACTTCTACGCTTCGCGACGAACTTGCGACTCGCTCCGCGAGCCGCCACCGCCCCGCACAGTTTTTAACATTGATGGGGAAACAACATCTATGTCTTAATCTTCTTTTTCACCAAGTTTTACAGAAATTGATGTTCTAGGAGTCGACCGCGTTTTCGTGCGGGGCCGCCATCTTGTATTTGGAAATGTTGAAAATCTGACCAAAAATGCGAGTTTTCCGTCGCAATACACCTCCTAATACCGAATTTCACAAAAATCGATGCATCGGAAGCCGAGATAACAATTTAGACCACGTTCGCCATTTTTGATTTTTGAATTTTGAAAATCGGACCTAAAATTCTAATTTCCCGTCGAAATACACCTCCTAATACCGAGTTTCACAAAAATCGATGGATCGGAAGCCAAGATAGCAATTTAGACCACGTTCGTCATCTTGGATTTTTGAATTTTGAAAATCGGACCTTAAATTCTAATTTCCCGTCGAAATATACCCTCCAATACCGAATTTCACAAAAATCGATCGATATCAGGAAGCGATATAGCATTTTAGGCCACGGCCGCCATCGTGGATTTTGAAATTTTGAAAATCTTACCAAAAATTCGAGTTTCTCGTCGAAAAATACCCGTGGGTACCGAGTTTCACGAAAATCGATAGAACAGGAGCCGACTTAGCATTTTAGGCCACGGCCGCCATCTTTTGGATTTGGAAATTTTGAAAATCTGACCGGAAATTCGAGTTACTCGTCGAAAAATACCCCTGGATACCGAATTTCACGAAAATCGATAGAACAGGAGCCGACTTAGCATTTTAGGCCACGGCCGCCATCTTGGATTTTGAGATTTTGAAAATCCGACCAAAAATTCGAGATCCCCCGAGAAAAATACCCCCGCTTACCAATTTCCACAAACATTCGTCGAAAAATACCTCCTAAAACCTTAAATTTCGTCTATAAGGCAGTGACGTCACGCAACAGGATTGAACCTGTTCGGCGCGATGCGCGTACACAACCGCGTATCTCCAATGTAATACTATAAGGCGCGAAATAACTTTTCGCTCTTGCGGGCATTCGAGGCAGCGGATTTGAATGGGAATAATTTTAATCAACTTCTCATTACAATAGCTAAGCGTGTACCAATTTTAAAGGAAATTGCTTCGGCCAATTTTTTTCTAGGGGGGGGGGGGCATAGTGAGTGGGAACAGCAGCTTTATACAGGGTGATCCAAAAGTCCCTTCCACCCCCTCTAACTTTTTACCTAATTGAGGTACAGATTTGAAACTTGGGGGATATTCCTAGGTAAAAGGGAGCTACTTTTTGGCCCCCCTAAAATTTTCAGGGGGGCCCCCCTTGGGGGGGCAACGGCCCCCAACTTTTAATTTTCAAATGGGAAGACCCCCTTTGTGATAGCTCGTTCGAAAAAGCATAAAAAAAGAAAACTTTTCGCGCAAACCCGAAGTCAATATCTTAAACCGTTTCAAAATAGCGGCCGGTTAAAGTTCAAAATGGCCGAAAATTCACACCGGTTATTTGTCGATGGATTTGCGCGAAAATCGGTATGTAGGGGTATTTTGACACGAGAAAAACGAATTTGACGTTAGATTTTCAAAAAAAAAACCGAAATTTCCAAAATGGCCGCCGGTTAAAGTTCAAAATGACCAAAAAATGATTTTTTTAGAAATCTAAGTTCAAATTTGCTTATCTTATGCCAAAATACTCTCAAATTCCAAGTTTTAGGCAAATCCATCAGCAAAAAACCGAGGTGACAATTTTTGGCCATTTTAAACTTTAACCGGCGGCCATTTTGGAAATTTCGGTTTTTTTTTTTAAAATCTAACGTCAAATTCGTTTTTCTCGTGTCAAAATACCCTTACATACCGATTTTCGCGCAAATCCATCGATAAATAACCGGTGTGAATTTTCGGCCATTTTGAACTTTAACCGGCCGCTATTTTGAAACGGTTTAAGATATTGACTTCGGGTTTGCGCGAAAAGTTTTCTTTTTTTATGCTTTTTCGAACGAGCTATCACAAAGGGGGTCTTCCCATTTGAAAATTAAAAGTTGGGGGCCGTTGCCCCCCCAAGGGGGGCCCCCCTGAAAATTTTAGGGGGGCCAAAAAGTAGCTCCCTTTTACCTAGGAATATCCCCCAAGTTTCAAATCTGTACCTCAATTAGGTAAAAAGTTAGAGGGGGTGGAAGGGACTTTTGGATCACCCTGTATAGAGTAAAATATCAGCCTCCCATGAAATTTAAATGAAATGTATCAGGAAAAAATAGGTACCTATCAGAAATTTGAACTCGAAAATAGTCTCGCCTTTTTATTAAATCCAGGCTGGCTGGCAGGGGTACAAAAATTTCTCGAACACGTGACCGGGCGGGTCACGGTTGGTTCTGTGTGCAAATGGAAAGGCCCCAAAAACAGCGCTTTAAAATGGGAAAGCCGGCAATGTCGCGTATTTTTGCAAAAGTGCGTCAGTATTTTTCGCAAAATCGCGGCAATTTTTACGTGCAAGGGTATTAAGAGGTCATTTTTTTGAAATTTCTGAGAAAGAAGGAGTTTTTAAAACGGGAAGGCCAATTTAAAAAATGGGAAGGCTAAGAACTGTCTGCATCCCTGCAGGTAGAAGTCGGTCATTTCAAAAATGACATTTCACGGGTAGATTTTTATGAAGTACCTATTATGATATCTGGAGACATTTTGATCAGAAAACTTGCAAATTCAATATCCAGTCGTTTTACTCTACATATTCACATCCAAATCGGCGAACCAAAAATGGCTTCTAATCCCAAAAAATAAAGTTTACCAATGGATCTTAATAAAATTGGTATGGGGGTGTTATCCAAAGATATGGAAATAATACTAGTTTTACCCTAGGTATTCTTAAATTGAATTTGGCGGAAGATGAGCGGTGTTTATACTTCCAAAAATAATTGCATATATTGAATCATCATCAAATATATCATATATTGAATGTGTTAGGGTGCCAGGACTTAAGTTTCGAGCCTTTAAATTGTGAGAAAAAAAAAATTTTCAATTAGAAAAGAAGAAAAAAATTAACAAAATTTCACTAAAAATCGTGTGTCAGGGTGCCAGGACTTAATTTATGAGCATTTAATTTTTGAGAAAAAAATTCAGGAGAGAGAAAACAATTTGATCATGAGATTTCGATGAACTTTGAAAGAAAATTTCGACAATTTTGATAGAATTTTAAATTTTTGAATTTTACCCTAAACACACACTAAAAAAAAATTTGGAGAGTCTCGCTTGGCTTAGTGCAAGGGGTAACCGGACTGAAAGCACTCCAGGGAGTTTAGCTTACTACCCGGCTAGCCTCCGCCACATATAACGGTCGTTAAGGGTAGGGCCAGAAGGGCACTCTACTCACAACTACCACTCTCCTTGGGGCGATCTTATGCCTCCACCACCGTGGATTGGATGGATGAGCTCCACGGAACTCGTATTAGAAGAAAGGGGTCTTACCACCTAGGGATCGACGATTCGGGGTAGATAGCGAGACCAAGATACGATAGATGACCAATTCTTTTATTCGCTACTAAATGAGAAATGCAACAACACAATGACTACTTAATAACTCAATACTCTACTCTAAACTCTCAATACTCTAAACTCGACTCAAAATCAGCAGCATGGATTATGGTACTGCAGCTAGTGAGAATAGCCGAGGCTATTTCGGAGTGATGTTGACCGTTCGTTACTGAATTTTTCGTTCCTTTACGCCTGTAATTTGTTTTGTAAATTGCATCTCATCAGTGGCGTTGCTTGTCGTGCGATTTATTGATCGATCCACTCAAATTAATGGGAAACCTACGGTCGTGGTATCGATCATTTCCCACCGCTTCAAATGGCTTAGCCATTGACGCACTGCGATTTACGCCGCACAGTGGTATGAGCAAACAGTAAAAGTCGGACCTGAAGGTGTTGATTGATTTCAAATTTTGGTACATGTTTATTCAAAGAGACCAATCAGACAGGCTGTCGCTGAACGGGAATTTTATGAAAGAACCAATGTAGCCGCTCTTAAACTTTCTCGTTACTAGTTTCAATCTTATAAGTTTCCGAAGTTATTAGTTTGTGTTCGACCTCTCCTGCTGGCCCGAACCAGTGTGCGCCGCGTTTGTGCAGCACGGCATTTAAAAAATGGAGTGTATACAATGATTAAAAGTTGAACTTTCTGAATGTTGAGAAGCTTGCAAGGAAGCCACCTAGGTATTAAGAGGTCTCCTCCTTGGTAATGTGGGCGTAAGTTCTTTCGTATATTTTATAAAGTATAAGAATGAGACAAATTAGTTCTATGTGTAATTCTACTTTACAGTTGGGGTGTTTAATGCCGAATTATCGGTCTTTTACGTAAATATATTTACTAAGTAATGCTACTTAATTGAAATCGAAACTGTTAACCTAAGCTTATTCGTATCGTATTTTTTTTTTTTTTATTACAAGCTGCGCGTTGCGCTTCGTTTCTTTGCACAGAGAAGAATTTCAAGGATTTTCCTGGTAAGTGTGCGAAATAATTTGGTATCAATTTCCGTTATTTCTTATGAAGCTCATATACTTCGTCGTTCTTCCCCTACAACGGAATTTTATCGGATAGAATGTAATTGAAATTATTCAGATCTGAAATCGTAAATTTCGTGTAAAAATCTGTGTTAAAGTTTGCATCAACGACGCGGCGAGAGGCCCCCCATTGCAGCGTTGCATTTTCACTTAAAAGTAATCACTGATCGTTTTATCTAGCCGAAGCAATGTAATTTGGTAAATTCTGCGTGAAGGGACGGTCAGTTTGCTGTTAATTTAGAGATGACGTTTGGCGGGCAATTTTGCAACACTGCAACAAGGGGGCCTGATAATTTAATAATTTTGTCTACCAAGATTCGATCCTTGATCGTTTTTGCTCTATTAAGAGCTTTGTCTCAATATAATTTTTGAATAACTGAATTTTCACACGCGAGGAAAATGGCGCGCGAGTACCGCGACGCTTCCGAGGCTGTGCCGCAATTACCTACTAATTTTGTTTTAGATGTATGTTATTGTTCTATTGGCTCGTTGAAAATTGCGATGGTAATTTTGGAGCTCATTTTTTGTGGAGGAAAGAGAAAGAAAAAAAAATTGCCGTGAATTTGTTGATAAATTACTCAAAATTGTATCGATTTGGTGCTCGGTCCCGGTAGTCCGCCATTCTCACGCGTCCTTCTCCGTGCGAAAATTAAGTTCCCGTATTTTTGATCATGAGTTGAAATTGATCCTGCGCATTTCATCGTGAAGAATAATGGACGCAACTCCATCGGACGGTGCTGCGCGCATCGCGACATGAGCCGTATTGTTTACATGGTCTTATGAGGTTCAGGGCTCACGTCTCAATGCTCGCAACTCGGCTCGGCAACAATGCGCTCATTTAATTCTTCTAAAGATGTTCTGTATAAGGTATTTTTTCTACTAAGTTTATGAGACAATTCGACAACGCTCCCAGATCATATTTCTTTTCGCTACTCGACATTAAACACCCCAACTGTAAAGTAGAATTTCATATAGAACTAATTTGTCTCATTCTTATACTTTATAAAATATACGAAAGAACTTACGCCCACATTACCAAGGAGGAGACCTCTTAATACCTAGGTGGCTTCCTTGCAAGCTTCTCAACATTCAGAAAGTTCAACTTTTAATCATTGTATACACTCCATTTTTTAAATGCCGTGCTGCACAAACGCGGCGCACACTGGTTCGGGCCAGCAGGAGAGGTCGAACACAAACTAATAACTTCGGAAACTTATAAGATTGAAACTAGTAACGAGAAAGTTTAAGAGCGGCTACATTGGTTCTTTCATAAAATTCCCGTTCAGCGACAGCCTGTCTGATTGGTCTCTTTGAATAAACATGTACCAAAATTTGAAATCAATCAACACCTTCAGGTCCGACTTTTACTGTTTGCTCATACCACTGTGCGGCGTAAATCGCAGTGCGTCAATGGCTAAGCCATTTGAAGCGGTGGGAAATGATCGATACCACGACCGTAGGTTTCCCATTAATTTGAGTGGATCGATCAATAAATCGCACGACAAGCAACGCCACTGATGAGATGCAATTTACAAAACAAATTACAGGCGTAAAGGAACGAAAAATTCAGTAACGAACGGTCAACATCACTCCGAAATAGCCTCGGCTATTCTCACTAGCTGCAGTACCATAATCCATGCTGCTGATTTTGAGTCGAGTTTAGAGTATTGAGAGTTTAGAGTAGAGTATTGAGTTATTAAGTAGTCATTGTGTTGTTGCATTTCTCATTTAGTAGCGAATAAAAGAATTGGTCATCTATCCTATCTTGGTCTCGCTATCTACCCCGAATCGTCGATCCCTAGGTGGTAAGACCCCTTTCTTCTAATACGAGTTCCGTGGAGCTCATCCATCCAATCCACGGTGGTGGAGGCATAAGATCGCCCAAGGAGAGTGGTAGTTGTGAGTAGAGTGCCCTTCTGGCCCTACCCTCAACGACCGTTATAATATCATTGCAATCGAGCAGAACATCGACGAAATTGCCTACCTCTAGGGGTTTTTTGCACTTCGGCGCGCTCTAGCGGCCGATAAATGAATCATTTCGAAAAACGGCACGTTGAAGTTTGTTCAAAATTTGATCACCTTCAACTTTATTCCTTTCAACTTTTACTAGGAAGTTATTGACGGTAAATTAAGAGAGTTACGGCTAGAAAACATGATTTTCGGCCCATTTCAAACTTTCGCGGGATCTGGTGGCTTAAATTTAAGTCCTAACATACAACTTGTTACTTTCAAATTTGTTAGAAATTTAGTTGGCTACAACTTTGCTAATAACTAATTTTCCGTTCTGACGAATATTAATGCTATTTATTCCCGGAAAAGCGCGTAAGAACGTGATTTTCGGCAGTTTTCCGACTTTTCCGGGAAGCATCAAATTCGGATTCAGCGACCAAAAATTTATTAGAATCAGCTTTAACCTCTTCTGACCTCTTTCCTGCATTCATTTATACTCCTATTGGTACTGGACTACTATACACTGTGTAAACAGTGGTACTGGGGTAAATCATAAGGGCATAATTCATTCATTTCTTTTTTTCTTTTCTTTTTTTTTCATTTCAAACTTTCAGGTCTGAAGCAAAGAGGAAATGACGTAAAAAATGATCACTATTTTGATACAATCAGAGTCAACCCTATCGGATCTCTTGAGAGTGTCATAACGAGAGCCACTGAAAAGAGAATTAACCTACGATACTTTCCAGACAAAACGGTAAGTGGTTTTTTAGATGGAACCAATTTATTTTACGGTGATATTTCAATATTATTGTTTGCGCCTCAAGGTTTCAATTTTACGACGCCTTATTTTTCCAAAACCAATGAGATACTGTTAGAAATTACGGGAACGACACAAAATCATGTCTTTGGCAAGGTTGATAAAAAAATGTTACAGAATTAAAAACAGCAAGTTCACCATGCATTTGGACGCCCTATTTAGTAGGTACATATTTTTCAGCTCTTAATGCATATGTATTCGGATACAAATTTTGTTCATATCCTAATTGGTCATTTATAGGGTATTCAACTACCAGGGATTAATTAGATCCTCAAGCAGCGTGAGTGCTGTATAGGCGCCAGAGTAAATAGATTGCAAACATGAGCATCTTTCTGCAAATAGGGAGATTGCTCATGATGATGAGATCACCGAGCCTTGAATCTTAATTACTTGTTTGAAAATTTCTGCAGGGTGTTTATACAGGGTGTCCCAAAAGTCCGTAACCCCCCCCCCCCCCCCNGGTTGGAGATAGAAAAACTAAACTTTGGAAATGTTTCTAACTCAAAGGGGATCATCTTCAAGGAGGTTCAAAAGTTTTGCTCTTCCCTCAGGGGGGGGGGGGGCAACTTTGTTTTTTCAAATAGTAATCCCTACCTTGTGATACATCATTGGAAAGAACATTAAAAATTAAGACTTTTGGCGCAAACCAAAGATCAATATCTTAATTTTTGACCGAGTTATGATAGGTCAAAGGTCAAATCTGACCTATTTTCAAAAAATCATCAACTCTGGTTCAAATTATCGTGGCGATAAAAATAAAGCGGGGGAAAATTTACCAACTTGTAAGCACTTTTAAGTGAAAATCACAGAAATCACTTTAAACTAATTTTAAGGGGGCGGGGAGTTCGGACCTCCAATTACGTCAGTTCAAAGGTCATACGATTTGCCCGCGAAAAGAGCCAATTTTCCCTAACTGTGCCTCAACATATCTTGGTAAGTTCAAAATTAGTTCAACGTCGCATTTCAAGTATCCGAATTTAGGGCAAAGTTCAAAAAAACGAAATTTAAACGGTACAATTTTACCGCAGGCTATCCAATTGGGATATCGGGTTCGACGCACCCGCGGAGCTGAGTCATGTGTAGGCTGCCCCCTTCTGGGGCCGCATAAGATCGGGTGCCTCGAGGGCTGAGCGAGACGTAGCTGCCCTCTAGTCCTCGGCTCCAGAGCTCTGCCGTGGGGTTGCCGCAGGGTTTGGCGCAAGCTGGGCCGAGGCTCTCCTCCTACGCCCTTGACTCCAGGTACAATGATGGCTTCGGCAGATCGGGCCCGGGGGATGGGGGACCCGAGGGGCGCCAGCTTCACCGGGGCCGGGGTCGGGGACTGCCGTTCGAAGAGTGCCTTAGGGACATCCGACGGGAGGATAGAGCGCCCGTTGGGCCACACTTGCACGGAGTGTGGCCTGGAGGGGTCGTTTCGTGGGTAAGGAACCCACGGGGGGTCGTTTAGTGGTCGGGTCGGTTAGGGGTTGCTTCGGCGGCTCTTCACCAGCTGATGGTCGTTGCCGTTCCGATATTCGGAGGGCCCTTTTTCCCTCATCAAAAAAAAAAAAAAAAAAAAAAAAAAAAAAAAAAAAAAAAAAAAGGTACAATTTAATCACCTTAAAAACTGTTAACTTGTTTTTGCCCTCTCCCCCTGAGGGAGGGGCAAAAACTTTGACCCCTCTTGAAGATGGTCTCCTTTGAGATAGAAACATTCCCAAAGTTTCGTTTTTCTATTTCTAACCCTTCAAAAGTTACCAGGGGGTTACGGACTCTTGGGGCACCCTGTATTTCAGTTTTTCAAGAAAATAGGCACTGTTCGACATTTTTGCGGGAAATACTGAAATGACATACTTGAAAGAACACAGAAAATTCAAATAAAACCTTTAAAAAGTATAATGTGACAGGAAATTTGCAATATCGCAATCCGAGGTAAATGGTTTGGTACTTTCAACCAGGGATGGACTGGCCCTAAATTAAGTATGGGGCGGGTCCCTAGGGGTGTCTGGGGGGGGTCCCCCAGTAGAAGGGGGGTCCGGGGCACTCCCCCGGAAAATGTTGAAAATTAGGCCCTTTTAGAATGAATTTTACGCTATTTTAGACCCTACTCTTTAATATTATTTTTGAAACATTATCCAAAAAGAGACCAGAAATGCAAAACTTAGTATGTTTTCTTAAACTGGATGAAAAAATGAGAATCCGTTGTATACTTGGAATTCAACTTTTATTTTCCTCTTCCAACGAAAAATTGTGCCAAAGCTAAATTAGTATACAGAAGATACATAGAATCAAGTAGAATAGAAATAGTGACAGTCTAAAAAGAACACATTCTGAAAAACACAGTTCGGATTTTTTTGTTCGTTTGTTTTTTTAAATGTACTTTTTAGCCGCCAAAATTGACAACTGTCTTAATTTTTTTTGAACGCTTTATTGGATCCTTTCTTCGCTCTGCTCATAGAAAAATCAGTGCCGTTTACTAGTTAAATGACGCGTAATGAATGAATAAATCGATGGTTAAATTCTGAAAACACGTAACTCGGAATCCGCATCATGAACCCTGAGACTCGTAAGGATGCTCATGTTTTGCGTGTATCCTTATGAGTCTCAGGGTTCATGAGTTAATGATGCGGATTCCGAGATACGTGTTTTCAGAATTTAGCCTTTGAAATAAAAATAAAAATGAAAATAAAAATACGAACAAAAAATTGACAAAAATCTGACACTTTGAAAATTATTGTGTTAATTAAACTGGAAATAGAAACACAGTTTTACGCCATTAACAGCCTTTTTAACTCTGTTGAGGTTGCCGCGATCAAGTTGATTATTATCTCGTGATCAATAGATTTGGTCAAATCTCTTTCTACGTACAATAACATCAAGTAAGTCAGTAGTTCTTGCCCAATTTGCGATCGAATCCGCGTTTTAATAAGTTTTAGTTTCGAAAATACTCGCTCACAGGTAACTTGGGTGTATGGTAAGGTTTTACTCTTTTTTGCCGTAAGACCTTTTTTTTCCTTGTTAATTTAAAAAACTGACCAAAATAGGGGGGAGGGGCGAGGCTTGTGTTACGTATTTATTTATTTTTTTTGAGGGGGGGGGATGGTTCGAGCTTGCGTTACGCGTTACGGAGGGGGGATGGGGGTAAAAAAATCGGAAAAACTGCGTTACGTATTATATGGACAGCCCCCATTATGGATTTCGCAAAAGGGGGGAAAAATCGCCGAAGGCCCCTACGAAATCCCTTGAGGAAGGTTGGAAAGGTTCCCTACTAGGGGCCTCCAAAGTTCAAAATTGCATAGAAATGCGCCCTCGAGGCCTCTCTGAATCAGTACCAAAGGGCCCCCGGCAAAAAGGACCCTTTTGTCGAATCGGCGATAAAGAGCCCGCTGCCTTGAAGGTCCTTAGAGGCGGTATAAAACCGCATCAAGGCCTCTTCAAATCGGCAATAAATGGTCCCTTGGAAACGGCAAAAAAGGACTCCTTCGAATCAGATAAAGGGGCTCTTTTAAGGTCCTTAGAAGCAGCAAAAAAAGGCTCCATCGAGTCTTCTTCGAATCGGCAATAAATGAGTCCTTCAGGGCTCTTCCGAAATGACAAAAAAGGACCCCTTTGGACTTATTCGAATCAGAAAAAAGGGCTCTCAAAATGCAACGCCCTTAGATACGGCATAAAAAAGCTCCTTCAGGGCGCTCTCCGAATCGGCCATAAAGTGTCCTGTCCTCTCAGGAGTCTCGGGGCCCTTTCTCGAGAACGAACCGAAAAAGCCCTCGGGCGCTTCTTCGAAACGGCGAAATACGGCCCTTCAAATCGGCAAAAAGGGGCTCCTCCGGGGCCCCTTTTGGCCGATGAAAGTGGGGCGATCGCCCCATCGCCACCCCGGCCAGTCCGTCCCTGCTTTCAACATTGATGTGTTATTACTTTTCTCAGTCAGCTGCATTGCAGTTAAGTTGACAATATAGTCCAGGCTCCTGGTAGCTAAAATTGAGGCTACCTGGAATTTCGGGTAAACGGCTATTTTTTTTACTTACTTTGTGTTGTTTGAGTCGCTGAATCCGAATCTGAAGTTTCCTTACACGTATCGAGTGAGCATTTGCCACCATTTTGAAAAAATGGCCTATAGCGACGTTTTTGCGGTTTTTTTAAAATAGCGGCTGCGGATGAGACAAAATCCCGGATTTAGTTAATGTTTTGAATAGCTGACGTAATTTGGAAGGACGCGGTGTGTACATATGCTAGGTTTGCTCAAAAATTGAGGAAGATACAGCATCGTGAACATTGCGCCCATTCACGTTTTCACGGCCCACCCGTTAACGCGCGGTCCGGCAAGTGCCGAAGCGTTTCAAAGTTCCGAGTTTCCTCAATTTTTGAGCAAACATAGCATATTTATGTACCTACCATTTTCTTCAAAATTACGTCAGCTTTTCGAAACATTAACTAAATCTGGGATTATTGCTCATCTGCAGTCGCTATTTTTAAAAAAAAAACCGCAAAAAAGGCCTTCTTAGGCAATTTGCTCAAAATGACGACAAAAACTCACTAGATACGTGTAAGGAAACTTTATATTCGGATTCAGCGACCTAAAAAACATAAAGTAGGCCAAAAAAATAGCTGTGTGCCCGGAATTCCAGGTAGACTTACCAGGCGCCTAGACTAATATTGGAAAAAACCAGCTGGGTATCTTATAGTATTCTTATCATTCGCATTATTCGTAACAGTGAAATAAGTAGTGTCCTCTCATTATCAGGTGGGTATTTCAATTGATGAAACAACCTCGGTTGAAGATATCGATGATCTCCTCTACATATTTGGTAGCAGTGAGTCTGCTAAGAATGTAAGTATTTTTAAAGTTGCTTACAGCTCCTCTTGATTTAATCGAAATGATGATAATTTTCTCTCTTCCTCTCTCTCCCCCTCTCTTCCTCCCTAACCCCTCTCTGCCCCTCCCTTTTCCTACTCTTTTATTACTAAGTTCTAAGACCCTAAGATCTTGGTCACTGTGTTTTATTTACCTGAACGTTACCTACTTACCTACTTTTCCCCTTTTTCTTTTGGATAGGTATTATTTTTGATTTCATTTAATGTGATCCCTTCTCTTTAGGTAAATAATCTTGAAGGATTAAGTCAGTTAAAGTAATTACACATACAAATGAATTCGATACCAGAAGATGCTTTCTGGTATCATTGTATTATGGTGAAACGAGGTGCATTTCGGAGAATCAGAACCCATCATCAGAAGCTATACAGACCTATTGTAGTCGGTTTGAAAGATTAACTACTTCCGCATGATGCATATCATCAATAATTTAATATAAAATACCTATCAGACTCATAATGCTCAAGGTGTCAAGTGCCATTTATCCTTCTCAGCACCTTACTTCAAGACAGGGTTTTGATCGTTACCCACTTCTGGTGAACCTAGGTAAACGCCTTTTTCGGTATTTTTTTGTTTTTAGTTCTGTTCACCCATTTTCTTGGATTTTTTTTTTTTTTTTTTTTTTTTTTTTAAAGCGGTGTATGAATCATGTTGACACAAGGGGGAGGGGGAGCGAAAGGTTCCCTTTGGAAAGAAGTTGCCCTCCCCCAAAAATTTTGGGAGCAGGACCAGAAAATTGCTACTTGTCCGAGGCTCATAAACATCTCCAATATTTCAAATTTGTATGTAAATTAGCTACAAAGTTATGAGGGTGATAACAACTTTTGGACAACCCTTATATCACTTGATTTATGTGGGCACACACAAAAAAGTATTAACGACTCGTCTAGTTTTTTTTACATATTTGTTGGGTTTTATCTCCCTCATTTTATAAGTTTTCTGGGTAAATTTTTTTGCTATGTAAAAGTGAGGAATTACCTACAGTGGAAAGTATTCACAAGTCCAGTATTCTGCAAATAAAAGCCGGAAATCAAGGTCTTAGTTTTTGGATGCCGGGGGCGCAAGAAGTGGAAAGACATTCAATTTTGTGGTTGTGATAACTATCATACATTGAAAGGTCTTCCTCGGAAATTTTTAAAAGAGACATCTAATCCAGAACTAGGCTGGTATTGAATTAAAAGGAAACCATCCCAATCTTTACCAAATGTCGAACTTCAGTAGCTTTAGGCTGTATGAAGTGTGTGGCATGGGCAGGGCTTGGTTGCATAATAAGTCATGGATGTAAAGTTTGTGAACATTCTGTTAGCGGGTCAGAGGTGGAAATATTTAGGACAAATGCTTGTTTTTGGACCAATCTTGTCTTAAAATTGGCAATCGAAAGTTTTTGGACTGTTTGTTTTGAAATAAGATAAGATAAGACTTATTTTATTTCAAAATGTAAATGGGCCTGTTGTAAACGTTTGCTTTAGCAAGAGTAAGAGTTTTTACTCATAGGAAGTGTCTCAAAATCACGATGAGCGCATCGGCAAATTCAGAAATGCACTCCTTGCTTCACAATTTGCATGAGAAATTTGCGTTTCTTCGAGCTTTCCGCCCCAAAAACGATACCACGGCACAGGTGAACATTTCGTTAGAGGAGTCATTCCATTCAACCCCTGCTCACAAGGATGATACGCAATATTCAACATAGCCGACGCCATTTACGTTTTTGGCGCCCTATGCAGAAATTTTCAAGCCGCCCCCCTCGCACGCCCCCCCCCCCGCCCGCGCATTTCCCAACCCGACGGTCTTCTTTGGTTACTACGTGCTAATTCTAACTAAATACGAATTTTTCGAGTGAGTGAATGCTTCTGGGGCAGAAACCAAAACCAGGTACCTGTTCCTGTTACTGTTAACTACGAAACTAAGAGAAAGTTTGACCCTTAAAGTCTAGGGTCAGGTCATTTAAAAGATTGAACGCAATAAATTAATGGTTCTCTGATGTAATTTTGCAGAAGAAAATTCTGGTGGGACAAAAAGAGGCATTTCATATGCACATTTCAGTTCTGAACTTTCGACGCAATTCTCAATTTTTTGCAGAGTTTGGAAAAAAAACCCAAAATTTGGCGCCCCTCAAAATCTGGCGCCCTGTGCAGCTGCACCGATGCACCATAGGTAAATCCAGCCCTGGACGGGACGATGTTTGTAACCACCTCATAACAATAATCAGCATTTACATTCACATTTTTCTCGCGTTGATATATATTCCCCCATTGGGATATACCCAATTATTCTGCCGGATCAGATGTAAGAATAAATACAAATGATAAAAAAAATAAAAAAAATAAAATATAAAAAAAGTAATAAAGTAAATACGGTGACATAAATTAAAACTAAAGTAAGACAAAAATGTAGTAAACAATAATTAAATGTAAAAAATGAGGAAAACCAAATAAATATTTTAATAGAATAATAATTTTAAAAAAAGGAAAGAAAGAGTACGTACATTTTGAAATGAAATATAAATGAAATTGGAAGAAGGGAGAAAACAGGGAAACAAGTAAGAATAAATATTGAAATGTATAAAAAGGAGAGGAAAAAAATAGATATTGCAATAGATCAATGAAAAAAAAGGAAAAAAGAAAGGAAGAATGAACAAAAACGAAACAATACCACGAATAATAGTAATAAAAAAATAAATACATAAATATATACAAAAAAACGAAGAAGCAGAGGAAATAATTGCTAAACAAATATAATAGAGAACACATCATAAGTTACAATGTAAGATGTAATATCAAAATGAATAATATGGGACAAAATGAATACAAAATACAAGTAGTAATACCAAATACAAAAATACAAGTTTTGATAAGAAAACTCGAAAATGCCATTTTGAGTGGGGCAAGAGGAGAGCTATCCAAAATTGAAACACTGCCTACCATACTCATCAAACCACACTTTGGCACCTCCAAAACTCTCTCTAGCTCCTTCTTAACCATGGCAGTGCTCATTTTTGGAAGCTCCCGCAAAAGAATTGGTAAACTATTTAATGGCGATGGTATCTGCACCCGAATAGTTCTGTCACCATAATGATTGTTGGTTCTTGGTACCTTGAATAAAAGGGAGTTGCGCAAGAGTTTGCAGTTCGCAAATATTGATTGAATTCAAAAAGTATTAATTGATAACTACACTACACCAACATTATTGTTGAGTTAATGTTTTCCCCTCGAAAAATACCCTATTCTTTAAATGGACGCAAGGGTTACTCATAAGCGACCAAAACACCTAAATCTGTCCATGCCAACTAAGCGCCCGGAAGGTGGCGAAACTCATTCAATGAAACGGCGCTGTTTTTTTCTAATTTTTATTTTTCAATTCTCTCCTCTTTCGTTGTATTTACCTAATTTATCTTGTAAATTTTCCAGATTGTGCTTTCATGTAACTTAGAATCAGTCAGTATAGAAGAGTCAAAGTTTAAAAGAATTTCAAAATTCATGACGAATCCTGTCTTCAATACGTATCGAGACGTATCTTCAATGCGTATACAAGAGAATTGAAAAATAAAATAATTTTTATTTTTCAATTCTCTCCTCTTTCGTTATATTCACCTAATTCATCTTGTAAATTTTCCAGATTGTGCTTTCATGTAACTTAGAATCAGTCAGCATAGAAGAGTCAAAGTTCAAAAGAATTTCAAAATTCATGACGAATCCTGTCTTCAATACGTATCATTCAGAAACTAAAATGGTGCGCTACATGAAGAGTCTGGAAAATAAAGACATATCTCTGGTTCATTCTATGATACCTCTAGTAAGTATCCGCTTTCCTACGATGTAAGAACATTCGATAGGTTTTGCTTATGCGTCATTTGTATGTTATAAGAAGTGAATGTAAGCGCTCAGTCAATAAGGAATACTTTTTCCTTTCTACTCACCACAAGAATTTTAGAATGATAAAGTGGTACAGCGGTTAAATGTTAAACGGAAAGAGCCTCCCGCAAAAAAGGGCCTTTTTTGGCCCCTTTTCTGAAACTCGGGGATTTCATTCAAATGTGGCCTAAACGAAATCTTATGATGACCTAAGACTCCAGTAGAAAATTTAGCCTGAGTATACGTCTGGTTTCGGAGATACAGTGTTGCAAAGTTTGCATATTTAAGCTTTAAAAATCTTCATATTTTCAAATATTATCTTCCTAAAACCAACATCAGAGTGAACTTCACAATCTAAAACAAAGCGTAAATGACGCATAATGATGAAGTTAGGTTGATCAAATAATAATGATGAAAAAGCCTCCATTAAAAGTTTCAGCTCATGCATGACCCCTGTTTTGGTAGTGCATCTTTGCAAGTTAACCTTTCTGAGCTTTAAAAATACTCATACTTATAAGTTTCTTGTTTAAAAACCAATTTAAGTGAATATCAAACTGTATTTTGAGGGATAAAATTAATCCCTAGTGGTACTCGTGGATGTACAGTTGCATTGATAAAAGCGGCTACAATGATTTCAAGTAACACAGCGTTGCACAGTTTACATCTTAAATCTCTGAAAATGTGTTTTCTTTTGTTTTCTTACTAGAGACAACTTTGATCAAACATGTTTCGATATTGTAAAGCGAAATATAAGGACTCTAGTTAGTTCTAAGCGCCACTTGGTGTAAAAAATGACACTGTTGCCTATTTTTCCTTTTTTTCTCTCATCATTTAATCATAAAATAATATTAAAATTAGGATACCTACTTCCAATAATAATCTGATTTTAAAATTTAATTCAAGAGACTTTGCCATGCTCGATGAAATACTCAGCATCAGCGTATTGCTTTAAAAATCCAACAAATTATGCCTCGTCATAGTTGCCAATTTGACCTTTTTTCAAGTAAAATGAAAAAATTAACATAGAATACAGAATTTGTCGAGTTTTTTTACGTATAAAGGAATCTTGATCTAGAGAATTCATTTATTATGCCTTGCAAAATATAGTACATCCATTGTTTTTAAAAAAAATTTAAAAAATTAAAAAATAAAAAAAAATCAAATAAAAATTTAAAAAAGTAAAATAAAATTATAAAAAACAAAAATAAAGTATCAATTATTGGAGGCATCCTTATTTTAAAATAATTTTGTTATTTATTGTTAAGAAGTTTTAATAAACTTAGCGATAATAATTTTGCAAATACAAATCGTCACTTGGAACTGACATCAGCCCTCGACATTTTTCCTTGATATAAGGTATGACGCACATTGATGTCCTCTTTAACTAGCATAAATAATGATTTCGAGAGTTTAAAGTTGTTAGCTTGGCAACGCTGTATCACTACCAATCAAAGTATCATTAAACAAGAAGAAACAGGCAAAACAGGTTAATATTCCTGTTCTAATCTAACCAAGGAATTGAATGAGAATAGTAGTTGAGGAGTTCTTTGGCATAACCACGTATAACGAAAAATATAGTTGTGAGAAATACGCTATTGAAAGTTTGACAGTGTATATTTTCGAAACTACTCAACCGATTTAAAAAAACTGAAGACTGTTTTAAAGCTCATACTATCTAAAATTATTTTACAGAAGCACATGATCCTAAATTAACAGACGCTTTTGAGTAAATGAATCTGCTAAATAAATAATTATACGTGGTTTTAACAGAGATCGACTTCGAATGGGTATTTGTCTAATTGATTTTAATTTTTCAGGAGTTAGAGGATAGATGAAAAAAAGTAAATGTTAGTATGAATAATGTACCTTGTATTAAACTAAAATAGTAAGCAAAAAGTTTTAATATTCGCTGATATCGTCATCGGAGAGATCAGAGGGCCCTTGCCCATCGTCACATGGAACGCTGTTTTTGAAAAGGATGTTTAACCAGGTCCTCGCCTCTTCATTCAAAAACTCATAGAGAGCTCTGACATCTGCTATTTTGACCGGTTTCAAAGGTGGAAGAGTTGCTTGTGGGGGTTTTATATCCAACTCTTGACGGGTAATATCGGCATTCTTCCAGTACTGGAAGTCCTCAAAATCGGGATTGTACGTCTTAGAGGCTGAAATAGTTCCGTCTGGCTTGTATTTCAGCATGCAATATTTTTGAAGAGTAAAGCAACTATGCTTCTTCGTCGGTTTTATCTTAAAAAAAGGACGCAATACAGTTTCCCATTCTTTAAAAAGCGATGGGTCCCACGTGCTCCAATAGGGGAAAGGCTTTTCTCGACTTTTCGCAATGATTTTCAGATACTCCGCAGCAGTCTGAATAATGGGTAATTTTTTCAACTTTTTACCGTAAATCCCGAAATTACGATCGCAAATTGAGTAACTGTGCCCGCGAACAGGGTAAACATGCAGTATTTCGACGGCATACACTTCCGAAAACCAAGCACAAAAGCACATAAGCAAGAAGTTCTTATTTTGGCCACCACATGCGTCACTTAATAAAATTGCGCGTTTAAATGGCTCACGGTCCATGAGTTCGATCAGAGAACGACACACTAAAGAAATGACAGAATTGGTGTTTTTTTTGGCCCCATCCGATTCCATACAACCGTACATGAAAGAGTGTGGACAATTGTGCACGTGCACATTAAATATGTAAAACCACATTAAACAGTTATAAAATTGTTTGTTGCAATTTAATTTCGGCACTGGCAAATGTTGCGCATAGTCAAACTCCAGAATAACAGTATTGGGATCACTTTCATACCCCCTGATGAGGTCACTTTTGAGTTGATTGTACGATTTAACTTTTTCCTTATGCAAATTATACCGAATTTTACATTCATGGTTAGAAAACCACGTTTACGCGTATACGTGGTTTTTCCGGAGAACGTCTCGGATGAGGAGGTGCGTGTGTTCGGACCGGCTTAACCTTAATAATTTTTCATCAGAAACTTATACAAACTATTTGTACCAACAGCTCAGAGTCAGAGGATTTATTAGAACCGATCTCCGAAGAAACGGCGTATACGCGTATACGTGGTTATGCCAAAGAACTCCTCAGTTACTTACATAAAGATTTATTTACATATCGGGAAGCTTTTTGGCCGTTTGGCTATCATCAGCTTTTACAAAAATATTCACATTTTAAAAACACAAAATAATAAAATGCAATAAATCTAATAAAACAAAATTACAGCAGTATTTGATCATGTGGTCATGTGCTGTGATTTTGTTTTATTAGATTTATTGCATTTCATTATTTTATGTTTTTAAAATGTGAATATTTTTGTAAAGGCTGATGATGGCCGAACGGCCGAAAAGCTTTCCGATATGTAAATAAATCTTTATGTAAGTAACTACTATTCTCATTCAATTCCTTGGTTAGATTAGAACAGGAATATTAACCTGTTTCTTCTTGTTTAATGATTGTTAAGGAATTGCTACAAGCAGAATGCTTATTCAGGGTGTTCGAAAAGTCCCCCCCCCTCTAACTTTTGACCTAATTGAGGTAGAGATTTGAAACTTGGAGAATGTTCCTAGATCAAAGGGAGCTACTTTTTGACCCCCCCAAAATTTTGGGGGGGTCACGGACCCTAACTTTTTTTTTCAAATGGGAAGACCCCCTTTGTGATACCTCGTTCGAAAGAGCATAAAAAAAGAAAATTTTTCGCGCAAATCCGAAGTTATTATCTCAAACCGTTTCAAAATGGCGGCCGGTCAAAGTTCAAAATGGCCGAAAATTGGCACCTCTGCTATTTGCACATGGATTTGCTTGAAACTCGGTATCAGGGGGTATTTTGGCACGAGAAAAACGAATTTGACGTTAGATTTTAAAAAAACCCCTAATTTTTCAAAATGGCCGCCGGTTTAGGCTCAAAGTGGCCGAAAATTTGACAAACTCGATTTCTTGCCAATGGATTCACCTGAAATTCGGTATCTGGGGGTATTTTGACCCGAGAAGAACGAATTCGACGTTAGATTTTTAAACAAACCCAAATTTTTCAAAATGGCCGCCGATTAAAGTTCAAAACGGTCAACAATTGGCAACCTCGACTTCTTGCCGATGGATTCGCTTGAAACTCAGCTTATCGTTTTCCTCCTACCCAGACACCCCCAAACACCGAGTTTCAGGCGAATCCATCGGCAAAAAGTCGAGGTTGCCAATTGTTGACCGTTTTGAACTTTAATCGGCGGCCATTTTGAAAAATTAGGGTTTGTTTAAAAATCTAACGTCGAATTCGTTCTTCTCGGGTCAAAATACCTCCAGATACCGAATTTCAGGTGAATCCATTGGCAAGAAATCGAGTTTGTCAAATTTTCGGCCACTTTGAGCCTAAACCGGCGGCCATTTTGAAAAATTAGGGGTTTTTTTAAAATCTAACGTCAAATTCGTTTTTCTCGTGCCAAAATACCCCCTGATACCGAGTTTCAAGCAAATCCATTTGCAAATAGCAGAGGTGCCAATTTTCGGCCATTTTGAACTTTGACCGGCCGCCATTTTGAAACGGTTTGAGATAATAACTTCGGATTTGCGCGAAAAATTTTCTTTTTTTATGCTCTTTCGAACGAGGTATCACAAAGGGGGTCTTCCTATTTGAAAAAAAAAAGTTAGGGTCCGTAACCCCCCCAAGGGGGGGCCCCCCAAAATTTTGGGGGGGGGTCAAAAAGTAGCTCCCTTTGATCTAGGAACACCCTCCAAGTTTCAAATCTCTACCTCAATTAGGTCAAAAGTTAAAGGGGGGGGGGAGGGGACTTTTCGAACACCCTGTTTATTTTAAGAATCAAAGTATCCCTGTTTATAAACACAAACACAGAGCTACAAATGACACATTTGGTAGATTTCATTCTTCAAATTCGAAAGAAGATCCACAAAAGTCGCTTTTTAACACGGAACTTAGAAAAAATATACACATTTTAAAGCTCAAATGTATAAACTGAGCAACTCTGTATCATTCAATCTGTACTTACGCTCGCTGTGAGGCCTACAGAAGACTTATAATATTATAAAATTACATCTAAACACCATACCTACACAGATCTTTTGGTGATCGATAAGTTCGTTTTTTAATTCAGAAACTTACCTACGAAAATGAGTAATTTTTAGGTCTTTGTTGTCAACTTTGCAACTTTGTATCAAGAGAATTTGCAGTTTTACCGTATCAATAGGAATATGGATTTGAAGATAAGACAGACTGTGGGCAAAATGTAACAAAATAACATATTATATTCAATGGAGTTGTTTTTTAAAGTAAGATATTTGAAAATATGCGAATTTTCAAGGCTTAAATATGCACACTTTGCAACACTGTATCTTGAAAACCAGACGTATACTCAAGCTAAAATTTTTACTGGAGGCTTGTCTCATAAGGTTTCATTTAAGCCGCATACGAATGAAATCCCCGAGTTTTAAAAAAGGGGCCACTTTTCCTTATGGGAGGCTCTTTCGAAGACGGCGGAAAAGAGTCCCACACTTTTACGAAAGTTTTGCTCATGATAGGTACCTACCACAGTTTATATAATCAAAATCACATAGCAACGAATACTAGCGTAACTTTCCTTCCAGAGTTTCTTGCAAAAATGAAATTTTTCGCCCCCTCTCCCTTCATTTGGATTTTCTTCACACTGTGTGTATTGATTAATCATACTTTAAATCCTCCTATCCCAAAGTTGCTGACCATGCAGACCATTTTAGGGGGGTCGCATCGCTAGGAGAGGTCAAAATTGAAACCCTTGTACAACATCATCCTCTGGGGGAAATTAAGATGTTAGGATCCGGTTATTATGAAACTCTACGTAATTTTTGTTTAATCCACGATAGGAATCTGAAAAGAAAATCCGAAGGTTTGATTTTCAGGTTGTGTTTGATGCATTTTCTCAGTTTTTAAAATGAAGATTAATTTTTTTCTACTACAAAGAAGACATGGAAATCGCAATTTTTTATTTGAACCAAAATCGAGTTTTTGAATTGGCCATTGTAATTTGCATCCAACGAGTGTCCGTGGATTCTCGGGCAACAAAAGGTTCAGGGGTTATGAATAATCGAAGTTGAACATGAAAACCGCAAATACTGGAAACTTGAAATGCAGATGTGGAACTAGTGGAGCTCGGAGTGGATGTTACCCCCCCCCCCCCCCCCCCCCCCCNTGCACGCCTCGGGCATTGACAAGGCCACTGATTGCTGAAAGCTGAGCACTGAAATCGATGAACAAAGTGATAGACAAAAAAGATGACATTGAAATCCTTGGTATTGGGATTTTTTGATATTCCACGGGAGGAATCTGTTGGTTGAAACGGGTTGCTGTATTGGACAAAGGAGAGGAGGGGAGGTGAAGTTTACTTGATCGAAAAAGTTTGAAGGGAATCGGGAGTTTAAATAAAAAATAGACTAAGTATTTTGTTCTACACAGATGTCAGATCTGCTAGACCAAAAACCATTAAAATGTGTACACCTAAAAATATTATATTTACGTATGTAAATGAACTCGGATATAGGTATTAAAAAATATTAGGAAATTTAACATTGCTGCAGGTAGGTAACTGTATGCAGCAATACAATTGCTGGAATAGTCGTTTAGGTATCATTTTTATACCAGGAATCCATTCTTGCCTCCGAGATGCCAGGGATGGAATTAATGTTTATGCAATGTTTATATGCTATATTAGGCGCTGTAAATTTAGTAAAATAAGTACATTAGAAATTCCTTTTTTTTATTAATGTCAAACAAATGCTCTGAGCTAATAAAGGGTCTAAATATTTTCAATTATCTTCTCTTATCAACATTAAATTAACACATAACCCATTTGAAGTGTCTGTTTTCCCCAGTTTTCTCTCTGTTACAGGGCTCTTGCACCATGAAATTGAATAGCACAACTGAAATGATGCCTTGTAGTATCAAGGAATTTTCAAACCTTCATCCCTTTATTCCCAAAAATCAAACCAAAGGCTACGAAGAACTTTTTCAGGAATTGGAAAACGATCTTTGTGCAATCACTGGTTATGACAAGATATCCTTTCAGCCAAACAGGTTGGATCCTCTTCCCTCTTTTAGTTTTATACCCGTGTAAAAAATCAACTATAAGGGCTATAAGGATTTTATATAATCGCATAATTTCTACAGCTGGCTATACATACCTACAGTCTTACAGCCGTCCGTATGAGTTAGGTATGAAGCTAACTACATAAGCCTTATATGACAGGCTGTTTGGGCTCTTAAAGCTGGATGAGGTTCGTATGGCAGGCTAAGCTCTTGAGGCCAGCTTGAGTCCTCACAGTCCTTGCCAAAAAAGTTAACGCACGCTGACTGCATGACAGTGGATCAATTATTAGAATTGGCTACGATTATTCTGAATGAAATATTCTATCTATACTATAAGCTCCGAGACCTCCTAATTTTGCATAACTGATAAGGCTGAGTTCCAGCGTTCTACCGGGCCGATTTTCATGATTTTTGCGGCGATCAGAGATGGAAAATTTCATGAAATTTATTGGAGTGAAATTTCACGAAATTTCATGAAATTTATTCGAGTGAAAGGACGACGGACCGGTCTTATGGGAAAAGTGGGCCCGGTTAATTCGGCTGCGCTTTTGATATGTTGTAGGTCTTAACCTACTGATCAAAAGTGTCAGTGGGTGTTTCTTCCTATCTCGAAGTTTTACCCCCCATTTTGGGGGTCAAAATTGCCAATTCGGCGTATAATTGGTAATTTTTACATCCAGGTTTGTTGGTCGCCTATAAGATTCTGAAATGGTTTTTTGAGTCTATTGTATCCTCTGAATAGGCTAGAGACCATCCGAATTCAAAAACTGAACAATTGCGCCTTATGGGGAAGGGGGGGGG